TCCTTCCTGTCACTTCTCAACTCCATACCAATCTGAATTTTGCCTCGAAGTACTGATTGCGCAAGCAAGGAGATAGAAGGGTGGGTGAGAGAACGGGGGAGGAGAGGAAGGGGTGTCAACTTACCATCTTCTGCCTTCGAGTTTTAATGCCCAGTCGTTTCGCCTGCAACGTGGCTCGCATGCTGAAACAGAAGTAGGAAGAAAGTGCATCCAATGCATCATCTCAGCATGAAACAGTGACGAGGTAGTGGGGTGACGTGGACACTCCGCGAGTCCCCAACTCTCACAGGTCCACGTCTTTGCATGCACGGAAACCGCATCGATGCTGTGATACCACCATCGGGTTCACTAGGGTCCATGGTACCCAGCGGCCTTGGCCACCTGGTGGACAGCAGCAACTGAAAGCACCTTTCACGCAGTGCCGTTTGCGTCACCTTCTTACCAAATGCTGAGTCCAATCAAACCTACTTTCAAACCTGCCTGCAGATGGGTGATACAAAGGCAGTGGGTTGGTGCAGATTTCATCCAACTCATTTCGACATGAATGGCATCAAATTCAGCCGCTTTCCGTCTACCCCAACATCGCACACCGAAGGACTTTGAACGCATGGCGTGGATAAGTTCAAGCACTTCTCCATGCACTACGTGGATCTACGACTGCCCGGTAACACTCGGCCTGTGTCAGTGGAGGGAGAAGTGAATGCAGACTTTGTTGAGATGTTTTGCTGACTGATGCTTTCCTCACCCACTGTTCCAACATGTGGAACACCTTCAAAACATCTGACTTCTCCTGTGGAAGCGAAGATTATATGATCCTCGAGGAAACAAACAGATTTTGAGATGCGTACCACGTGCCTTTCACCATCACTTCATCCACTTCATGCAACACACTGAATGTCCTTAATGGGTGGACTTCGACGAGAACGACGACCAACAACTTGTGGGTGGCATTCATCCACATGATTGACACCCCGCCTGGGGACAGGGACACGGATGAATTTCCCATAGCGGAACATGTTCAACCTAGCGAATGTCGCCAACGCTCCAAAGCCCTTCGTCTCTGGACGGCCCTCCAGTTGACGGTGCGTGTTTCCATGCACCAAATGACGAATTAGCTGTTTGTTCCAACCAATCCAATGCCGTCCATGAATGCGGTGGCTCTCGAGGGGACCCAGTGTGTAGTAACCAGCTTCCACAAACAGTGGCACAACTGCAGTCTAGCCTCTGTCCAATTTGCCCAATGCACGACTTCCTCAGCCCCCTGTCGTCCAAATCACGGACCATGCTGAGGACTCACAATGTGTGTGAAAGCAGTCGACTCTCATCCACCCGTGCACATTAATTCACACTAATCGGAGGTGGCGGTGGCGGTGGTGACGAAGGCTCAATTCACAGGGATCAGCATAGCAAAGAGTGAAGTTGTCAATCAAGTCCCTGCAATTCACTCCAACACCAACTCAGTCATTGGTTGATGGATGCCAAATTAATTATCCACCACTTTGGATGGAGGTGGTGAGGAATCACAGGCTGGATGTGGAACCTCACAAGCCACTATCGGGGTGGAGGAATGCCCAGATTCCAACTTTCACGGTACTTGGATGAACCTTACCTTACCCTATACTCCACCTCCCCAACCTCTGTGTGGTGGTGAAAGGTGGAAAAAGAAGTAAGCTGTGCTATCAAAGGGAAGCCGACATTTGCCGACTTGTTTGTGAGGTGCGAAAGAGCATCACCCAACCATCAGCGTT